TTACGTTGATCACGATTATGTAAAAAAAAAAAAAGGATTTTTTTATTTTTATCTTTGGACCCTTTTGTCACAAAAAAATTTTTATGGGAAAAAAAACTTGTTTATTCTTTCTTGGTGCTTACATATTAAAATTACATTGTAATAATAATTCATTGTGACTCTTTTTTGATACGAAATCATTTCATCCAAATAGATATACAATAGTACATTATTAAAACTGTAGTACATCATTATCATAATGATATCCATTGTCTTGAAAAAAAAAAAAAAAATATTCAATTATGATAAGGAAAAATTATATTATATTACGCGTCGCGAATGTTCACATCAAACGTATTTTTCATCACAATTTTATTACATTGTTTATACATTGTTTAATAATTCTGAAACTTATCAGTTATAAAACTAATAATATATATGCTAAATACAGTATATATGCTAATATATTTGATATACCGTATATATGCTAAATATACCGTATATGCTAAATATATATAAACTAATATACCGTATATGCTAAATATATGTATATAAAACTAACATACCGTATATGCTATATAAAACTAACTAATATATAAATATAACTAATATAAAACTAATATGTATATAAACTATGCTAAACTAAATATATATGTAGCCCAATATTATCCAAATTTATCTAAGAGATAAGGCATTTAGGCTTTGAATTTTTTTTTTGAAATACGTGTTATTACGTTATAACTTTATTTTAATTATAATGTATAATTATTTGTTTAATCTATAAATTATTTGTAAATATCTAAATAATATATATACATATATACATTTTAAATACACACACACCGCATACGGATACAAAGATAAAATTATTTTACATTATGGTGGTTTTGGTATTTGGATACATGAATTACATTCTTGGACGAAAAAATTTAAGGAGAAACATTTGACATACATCTGTTTGATACTGGGTTACAATAAAATTGATAAACAAACATTATTCATACTTATTCATTTACTCTATTCATTTACTCTATTCATTTACTCTATTCATACTTTATTCATACTCTTTTAATATTTTAATATTATGACAATGAATATGATGAAAACAATCGATAATAATACTTTGACAATAACCGCGATAACCGTAACCGTAGAGGTCGTCTCTCTTCAATTCTTTCACTTTTTTTAGCTTTTTGCTAGGTGATGGAACAATAGGACTAAACATTTTATTATGGTTACACATCGAACAATAGACATTGTTCTTATATAAGTTACACTAATTAATTTTTTGGCCTCACTCTTTCAATTTATATCCAATCATGTCATAAAAATGATTTGCCCAATAAATTAAAAAGAAAACTTTAAAAATTCTGCGGCGTAAATTCTGTAAATGTTTTGCATGGTCCCAAATAAATTTTCTAGCATTTTAATTCGCCTTCAATACTTCACTAAAAAAGTGTTAACAAAAAGCATTAATTTGTTTAAATTAAATGTCAATCTTTACCCCACTCCCCACTATATTTAATTTCTTTTCTTGGTCTTTATCAAAAGGAAATGTTAATATGATTGAATGGTGATTGTGTTGCTTTGCATAAATTCCCGCCCCACATTATTCGCTTATTATTAACTGCCAAAAGATAAAGCAAAAAAGTAATAACAATAAAGTAATTTTTAGAAGTCATAAAATGTGTGGAGGTGTTTACAAAATATTTTTGTTGTTTCCAATAACATAACGACTTGTCAAAAATATATATCGCGTTATATATATTTATTATATAAAAAAATTTTATATTACCCCGCAAAAAGAAAACAAAAGATTTCTAAATACCTGTAAATATTTGTATGGTCAACTTTTTTTCTTTCTTCACGATCGTTGTCATTTAAACAATAAGGTAATATGTGAAAAAATTTCTCACGATGTTTTTATAATAACTACAAATTAGTGTTTAATATATGCCTATCTATAAAAAATTTTTTTTTTTTTTCTGCAGCAATCCTAATTAGAAGGAAAAAAAATCCTCTTAAAATTTTTTTTTTTTTTTTTTTTTTTTTTTTNTTTTTTTTCAGAAAATCAGATTCCGTTCTCCGGATATACTAATTAAACAATAAGGTTTAAACAAATAAAAAAATTTTTTTTTTACTATTATTATTATTAAAATATATTATATTATAAAACTAAAGTAAGATATCAAAAAGTAAATAAGTTACTGATAAGGTTTAAATGTTTTACTTTTTTGTTTTGAATGTTTATCTTATGCTTATCCTTGTTGTCAAAAAAAAATGAAAAGGCATTATTGAGTATTCAGCATTAATCTTCTTTTGGTACTTGGCATAAATACATAATTATATATATAATGATATCAATTATATGTAATTTAAATAATGTGAATATGTGATATATTTCTGGTGAATTTGTCGAGGTAAAATGATTTTTGAAACAACTAGGAAAAAAAAAAAAAAAAAAATGTGGTGTGGCTTGTTAAAAAAAAATAATTTATTTGGAAAATTATAAAATTTGAAATAATCATTATGAATTTGGTATACAAAAAATATTACATTATATTACATTATAAATGTTAAATGTATATAATAATAATACAGTATATAAATATATATTTTTATTAAACTTTTTGTTAACGAAAAAAAAATTAATTTTTTTTTATTGACGGAAAAAAATTTCGAAATTTGGTAATTTTTTTTAATTGTTTCACGTGTTTCATTTTGCCATTGTTATAAGTTTTTGATCATCTGATCAACTAAATTGTATCATCGAAATTTTTACATTGAAAATTACGGATTTTATAAATGGAATCAATATAATTTGTACTTTACTTACTTTACTTACTTTACTTGATTTTCAACTAATATATTCAATTATATTAGTTGCACATTTACGAGCCAAGTTCGAGATATTTATGACATTTAACAGGTATTTGTAGGTTGTGAAATATCTTGAAAGGTGATTGATATGTTTCAATAATGTAGAGTCAGTACTGTTGAGTACTGTGAGCAGTTCGTTACTAAAGCCTGTATTCCAGCTTTTGATTAAACAATTAGTATGTTCAGATCCAAACAGTTCAAATAGTTTTATTCTATATTCAATTTATAAACCACTTCTCACATAATACCTAAAATTTATATCAGGGCATACATGGGGCGAATTATGCGAATTATGTTCAAGCCATGTCGAAATATTACGGCACATTACACTAATTCGCCCGTAATACTATTTAATATGAAAATATTACGGCACATTACACCACATTACACCAATTCGGCCGTAATTTAATATTAATCTTTGAACAAAAGTTTGAACGCCGCCTAAAATGCTGAATTATCTGGAATAATTACGCCCCATATATAGGGTAAGAGTGTCAATTTTGATTAGAAATTCACTTCTCTTTTCTTTATAAAATGCAAGGTTCAGTACTGTAGGAATTACAAAATTTATATGTACTTGTTTATAGTTCAAAAGACCATTTTTCACGTGTACACATTTATCGATATCTGTAATTTGTAATATTTGTTAAGACAACATCTTGTATGTATTGAAAGGTGGGATCATAATAATGTGTTTCTTTAATGTAATCTTCAATGTATAAATCATCAAATTATTTATTCGTGATACACACACACATATGAAGGAACATGATCCTAACATGTTTATACCGTTTTAACATTTTAAACAAGAGTATTATTAACAAGGATTTTGTCAATAAGGATTTTAAGGATTTTTTATTAACAAAGATTTCATTAACATTAACAAGGATTTCATCAGCATTTAACAAGGAAATTTAACAAGGACTTCATCAGCATTTAACAAGGACTTTTAAACATTAACAAAGAATTTATTAACCTCGATAAGGATTTCATTAACATTAACAAGGAATTCATTAACGTTAACAAAGATTTCATTAACGTTAACAAGGATTTCATTAGGAATTCATTAACGTTAAAAAGGATTTCATTAACAAGGATCTCATTAGCATTAACAAGGATTTTAGTTATTCTGTAAGATGTATTTTAGCTTATTAATAAACAAGCACATTCATATAGATTAACAGTTTCTATATGGAAGTAATATACATAGTTTTTACAATGTCGAAATTTCAATACATGTAAGCGTCAAGTTGAGACCTTATATTTATAGTATCGATTAATCTTTTGATTAAATATATTGCTATTAGACTTAAACAATGGTGTAATCCTCTTGATTCGGTCATCGGAGCAAGTCTAAATATCAAAACCACATCACACGTCTATTTATTGTATGATTGACTTTCTTCATAATCATAAAATCCTCTTCCAGTTTTTTTTCCTAGCCAACCAGCATCAACATATTTCTGTAATAGTACGGCAGGTCTATATTTAGAATCGCCAAGTTCTCTATGTAAAACTTTCATTATAGATAAACAGGTGTCCAAGCCAATAAGATCAGCCAAAGCTAATGGTCCCATCGGAGTATTTGTACCTAATCTCATTGTAGTATCAATATCATCACGTCTAGCAACCTTCTGTTCTAAAATTATCACTGCTTCATTAATATATGGCATTAATAATCTATTTGAGATGAATCCTGGAGCGTCTCCAGATATTGTATATGTTTTTTTCATAGATCTAGCCAATTTCTTTGTAACGTTAAGCGTGTGTTCAGAAGTAATCAACCCTGGAATAATTTCCACTAATCTCATTATCGGCACCGGATTCATAAAATGCATTCCAATTACCTATTATAAATTTTTTTTTAAAATTAATTCAAATTAATAATTGAACAATAACAAGATTAATTATCGCTTTTCGAGAATCCCAAGAATAACTTGACCCGGAATATAACCTTATCAGGCTTCTTTGTAGCGGCAGCTATTCCCGTGATGCCAATACTACTTGTATTAGAAGCTAATATAGTATTTTCATCTGTAACAAGATTCAATTCCGAGAATATTTTACGTTTTGTATCCATATCCTCTACTACGGCTTCAATAATAAAATCTGCCGAAGATAAATCTGAAATTGATGTCGAAATTTCAATGCGTGATTTTGTATCGGTGGCTTGATCAGGCGTAATTCTTTCCTTTGAAATAGCTTTTTCAAGTAATCTTTCTAGATATTATATTGAGCAAAAAGTAACTTAATAATGTTAAAATGTCTTTTGTTATTTTTTACAAAATTTAAAGATTACTGACCTATGAAAGAAAATGCTTTATCAGCTTTTCTAGGATCTAAGTCGAATATCTTGACAGGCAATTTAGCGACATTAGCTGCCACATATGCAATACCCGTTCCCTAAATTTAGAAAGATATAATTTAATTTTTTTTTTTCATAATCAATTAAGTGAATAAATGAAAATTAGATACCATTTGGCCTGCTCCAATTACACCAATTTGATTAATCCCATGATCCTTTTCGTATTATATCAAATAATTAAAAAATAAGTTTAAAATTAATTAATTAATTTATAAATGTATTGCCTACGTTCGTAATTTTATCGGATAATGGCGGTACTGAATAATGAATGTGTGCCTAAACAAGAAAGTAAAGGTTAACCCAAAAGAATCACTTTCAAAAATGACAAGAAAATGTTTTTTACCTTTGTCAGTAGACTAAAATTTTTATTCTTTAAGGCAATACCAACTTGACCGAAAAAGATATTTCTTTTAATATGAATCATTTCTTATTTAAAGTAATTTTTTTTTTTATAACTTAGTGGCTAAGCCGAAATAAATAATGCAATTCTCAACAGGGGTTGGACGGGTTAGACGCTTAGTGGCTTGGCTATACGAATTATAGAAGTTATAGCAGGGGACCTGGTACTGCTGATCTTTTAGACAATCTTTTAGACTACACTGCCTGCCTACCTACACAAGCTATTGTGAAATTTAAAGTAAAACCCTACCGTCTCACCATTCTGAAAGCTAAAAAGGCGTAGCCCAACTTGTATAGGAAACTCTAGAATAAAAATAATGATCCAAAACATACTCTATTAAAGAGTAAATCGAAATGATGTAATAAAAAATTTATTATAAAAACTAGTAAGTAATAATAATAATACTTATTAATTATTACAGTATGGTTAATTTTATGGTTCCGAGTAACTAGTAAATTTCAACTACCGTAATTTTATATAAAAATACATTGTAATTCGCTATTTAAATAATATTTGAACAATACTTTTTGTTATAATTTGCATAATTACTTCTTTTGATCAATCTATTAAGTGAATATCTTTTTCAGATTTAATGTAGTTAGTTTTGATGCTAACCTATTAAATTAACAACAGTTTCTGATCCGCCTAATGTGGGATCGGGATCTAAATTTTTCAGCTGGAATATTCATGCCAATTAAATAAAATAATTCACCGCCACCATGTAGAATTGTATTTAACACATTCACTTTACACCACAACTCCACAAGATACCTTCAAACTCTTTTGAGACGATAATCACGTCTCGTTGTTTTTAAGGAACAACGTTATTTAAAGAATATTACTAAAAACTACTAAAGATACCGAATTAAACATTATCTTGCGTATGATGATTTCCTCATTTCAATAATCTTCGCAAGTAGTAAAAGCTCTTTACTGATTACTTACGCAGGCTTTCTATATCATACCTACAATTTGCCAAAATCTTGGAAAATTAAAAGAATTTATCTGAAATAATAACCAATAAATGATTTCCTTTCAAAATAGTAGATTTAATAAATATTTCCTCTTATAGATCTATTCCATCTAATAGTAATAAATTTCGGGCAAATTTGACCATAAACCTTTAAAGAGATTATCTATTTTTACATATAACGCTAATAGTATTAATATGAAAAAAAGAAAAACAAATGGAATGAGCAAAAATTACAAAATAACATAAAACAAACTGGTATTGGATTAACAGTAAATTTCGGCTAAAGTGCATTTAAAGCGCTCAAAGTAAATATTAACTTTTTTTTTATTTATTTTATTTCTAGAAGAGTATCTATAACATTAACAGTATATATACATAAAGGAATACAGGGACTATTCAGGTTATTAGAATTGCGAATCTAATCCCACAAAGTAGACTAAACAGTTATGCAAGACCTCACCCTTCGAACTAAATTATACTGGTAGGAAAACTACGCTACTACCAGCACTGAAAGTAAAGTAAATAAATATTAACTTCTAATGTTCTAATGATAAAGAATATCTGAATCGGGGTCTGCTGATCAGTCAAGGGTCCTGTTCGATGCAGATTTGTTGAGCCAATCAGAATTTACTACGTCTAATCGTTGTCAAAAAGTCAACTTGGGTAATATTCTTTACAATCTTATATTTTTTTTCTTTTTTCTTTTCTTTTTAGTCTTTTAATAATTAATGTTTTTTTTTCCTCTATAAACATGTTTAAATTCATATTCACATTATTTATTGGTTTTCTATTTATCATTTTTACTGTTTATAAACAATTCAAAAATCAAGCACAACAAAATCGTAAATTATTTTTTGAAAAATTACAATGGTCGAATCATAAGTCAGAATCAAGACCTTTAATAATTGGATTTTTTCATCCATATTGGTAAGTTTCTTTATTATGAAGGTAATTATTTTTATAAGTTATTGATCAATTATATTGTTGATGATATTCTTAAAATCTTATTTTTGATTACTTTAGCAATGCTGGAGGTGGAGGTGAAAGAGTATTATGGACCTCTATAAGAAGCATTCAGATAAAATACCAAAATGTGATTTGCGTTGTATATACAGGAGATACTGATGTAACAAAAGATGAGATTTTGGAGAAAGTTATGGTAAGTCAATAGTTCAAGGATAAGGTTCTTTTACATTATTATTAATTTTAATTACAATTCGAAATTATTAGTCCCGATTTAGCATCAAACTTAATCCAGAAAATTTATTCTTTGTCTTTTTGAATAAACGAAAATGGGTAGAGGATGTCAGGTAAAAACTGAAGATGATATTTTTGACTTGATGAATTACTATTTAAATAGATATTTAATCAATTATAAATAGATATCCTAGATTCACTTTATTAGGGCAGAGTCTTGGTTCAACAGTTCTTGGTTTCGAAGCCTTAAAAAAGCTTACACCAGATTTCTATTTTGATACTATGGGTTATGCATTTACATATCCTTTAGCTAAAAAAATGTTTGGATGCAAAGTTGGAGCTTACGTGCATTATCCAACTATAAGGTATTTTAATACTGTATACTATCCTATTTAAAATACTTGTTTTAAATGTTGAATTTTTTCTCTCCTTTTTATTTAATTTAGTTCAGATATGCTTAGTAAAGTTCAAGAAATGAGACCCGGATTTAATAATGATCAATTGATCGCCAGAAGTCGAATACTCAGCGCTGGAAAGATTCTGTATGTTTCAAAAATTTTTCAAAATCGAATATCACCTAAAATATTTTAATTCCTTATTCCTTTCTATAGATATTATCGAGTGTTTGCTTATCTTTATTCGTTAGCAGGTTCATTTTCTGATATAGTAATGGTAAATTCAACTTGGACAAAGGGACATATAGATCAATTATGGGGGGTAAATAGCAAAATAGTTTATCCTCCATGTGATACTGCTTCACTAACTAAATTACCTTTAGAAGACAGGCAAAGAACTATAGTTAGTGTTGCTCAATTCAGGTTTGTTGAATCTATTTATTTTAAAAGATTGAAGCATTAAAAAATTTATTAGAAAATTTTTATTCTTCCTTATGCTAATAGACCGGAAAAGGATCATCAGCTTCAACTTCAATCATTACGTTGCTTATTATCAAATTATCCAAATTTCCGGCAAGGACCGGAAAAAATTGAACTTGTATTAATAGGCGGTTCTCGTAATAAAGATGATGAAGATAGGATACAAAAATTAAAAGAGTTATGTAAAACACTAGATATTGAGGTTAATATTTGTTATTAAAACATTTATTATCATCATTTCTTTCCCGTTTTAATAAGATATTTTTAATTGGCATTTATAGGATAATGTGACTTTTGAAATCAATGCAAGCTTTGAAAGGCTTGTTTATTGGCTTTCAAAAGCTAAAATTGGATTACATACAATGTGGAACGAACATTTTGGAATTGTTGTCGTAGAATATATGGTATTTTAATATTAAAAAATTATTTTGTTTAATTAAATTTCTCACGAAAAAAAATGCTTATAAATATAATTTTGTTAGGCTGCAGGATTAATTCCAGTAGCTCATAATTCTGGTGGACCTAAAATGGATATTGTTATTCCATATAATGATAATATAACAGGTTGGTAAAAAGAATATTTCATTAGTTTTTTCTGTTGTTTTTAATTTTAAATCTTTTATATTAAGGTTATCTTGCAAGTACACCGGAAGAATTCGCAACAAAAATTGCCAATGTATTTTCTTTATCAGAAGAAGAATATAAGAATGTGCAAATTAATGCTAGGGAAAATGTAATAGGCAAATTTTCTGAAAGTGTATTTCAAGAATCAATATCAAATTTGCTGGGTCCTATTTTACAAGAAAATAATAATTAATATAATTAAGTTATTTATTAATTAATTAAAGAAAGTAAAAATTTTATTTAATTTATTTAAAAAAAGAAAAAATTATTATTTATATAGAATCAATTTATATAGTTAGAATTTTTAGACTTTTGGCTTAATTTTAATCAAAATAACGGGTGTTTAAAACCCTGGTTTCCAAAAAAGGTAATTTTTTATTAAATGTTGGTCGGAATTAAATTTAACGAAAAAACAAGTTAAATGTCAAAAATAAACCTTACAAAACAGGCAAAAATACACTTATTGTATATTTCTTTTAAGTTATATTTAAACAAAATAATATTTAGAAATGATTTTTTTTTTAACAAAAAACATTGTATAATTCCCATCTTCTGATGAATCTCCATTATAATTTTATATATATACAACTTTATTTTTTTAATAACAAAATAATATTTAAAATCAATAAATATAAATTATTTGAATCATTTGAATCAGATCAATCAGATCATAAGGATTATAAATGATTAGCATTCACTATTTATACCAAAACTGCCATCTTGTAATTATACCTGCCATTCATATTTATCCATATTAATGGGATTGAAAGAATCCCAAATTCCATTCCAATCCCAAATTCCAATTCCAAATCCTATATTCTATACAATCAAAATAATTATGAATTTTTGATTTTTTTTCTTATATAAAACTTATTACTTTTGTTTAATCTTTTATAAAATATTTTCATGTGAAACAATTATAAAACCTAAGCTTTTTTTATTGATTTTTATTTTATTTATTTTTTTTTTTATATTTAGAATTTATTAATTTTGACACAGCTTCATACAAAATAAGATAGTAACTATCATAATACATGAAAATAGGTCAGCAACCCCGTTGTGCAATAAGAGATCATTATTAAACTTTGGTACAAATGTACCATCACACCAAAAAGAAAAATAGACATGGGAAAAAAAAACAATTAAAAAAAAACAAAAAATCCCATATACAAAAGCGACAACAAAATTAGCAAATATGTAAAATAGGGAAACAGTTAGTAATGAAGTCACGCTACAATAACTTCTTTAGAACTTATCAAAATTCTCCTAGCTTTCTAAACATCAACCTTATTTCTGCTAGTATTGTAAACTTGTCAATGCCGCCCAAGGTCTTATCTATATTCTTGATTTCCTTGGCCACCTTCTTCTTCTTACTCGACTGAGTGTTAGTATTTGTTATTCGAACCTTGGAGTCACCTTCTTGATTCACCTTCTGAGAGCATCTTCTTCTTTGTTTCAAGTTAAAGGTAAAATATTTCATTCAATCACCAGTAAATTCGTCCAAGCTAATTGATTTTTATTTTATTTTATTTTATTTTTTTTTAATGATTTATATATGCTTTATTGATATTAAGTTTATATACCATACCAATAAATTATCATAAGCTATATCCACCCAGAAGGATGCAATCATCAAAATACCAATACAAATAAAAATAAAAGTAAATAAAAATTATTGATACTATGTTTATTTATAAAAAAAAATTTTTTTTTTTTTTTTTTCCCATTCCTTTTCCTTTCAGAATTGATGAATTTAAATTCATAATAATGTTAGTCATGTTGTTATTAGATTTGCTATAACATTGTTAATAATATTTTTTGTTTTCTTATAAGCCCAACTATACCACCAGTTATTACTAATCAGTAAGCACATCTGATCATGTATTGGGAAATTTTTTGGGGAGCAGATCTGCGCAGATTTTTAGAAATTATATCTGTGCAGATCTTATATCCTGGCGCAAAACATTAGAGGAAAAATCCAATAAAAAACTGTGCAGATTTTATAAATAACAAATTCTACGCAGATTTTTAAATCGAAATACCTCAGCAATTTTTTTCAGTAAAATCTGCGTCACAATAATACAAATTAATTTATTGCATTAATTACTAATTTATTTATATAATTAAAATTACTTTTTTATTATATATTAACAAGTTTACAAATACAATTGAAATCTATTACTAGTCATTGCTATTCATCATCTCTTTAGTGCACATTTACATGTTGTTAATGGTTTGGAATATTGTTCCAGTTGATTCGATTCCAACAAACAACGGAGACCTACAAATGAAAAAAAAATTTCGAAGCAAGCAGCTTCGAAATATATAATCCAGCAGTCCAGGATCTAAACATAAAAGAAATGATCATTAGTATAATGATCATTAAAAAATAGAACTTTAAAGTATTTACCTTTGAAGTTCTTAAATACTTTAAAGTTCTTCATAATGGGAAACTGTAACCTAAAATAAAAGAAAAAAATGAACATTAGTATAATGTTCATTAAAGAAAGCAAAACAAAAAAGAACTTCAAAGTGTTTACCTTCGAAATTCTTCATCATTACAGTTCACCATTCTAAGGACTTTCAGCAAAATGTGAATCTGGAACCTAAAATAAAAGAAGAATGAACGTTAGTAAACGTTTGTCAATAAAATTAAAAAAAAAAATTATTTTTTTTTGAAAGTTTGTTTTACCTTCAATGGAAGTCCGAAACTTGTTTTTCGGCTTTCTTTGCCTAAAAAAAAGAAGTACGAACGTTAGTGAACGTTCGTTTAAATAAAAAAAAAAACTAAAAATTTGAAAGTTTTACCTTCGAAATTCCGTCCTAGAAGCGAAAATCTACAAAAAATAAAACTGAAACGTTAGTTAACGTTTCATTTAAATAAAATAAAAAAAAAATAGAATTTCGAAGTATTATCTTCGAATTCTGTCTGGAAGCTGAAAACCTTAAAAAAAAGAATAAAAGAATGTTAGAAACGTTCTTTTATAAAGATAAAAAAAAATATAAGTTTTGTGACGAAAGTTCGTCACAAAACTTACCATATTGAAGTTTTGAACTTTGGAGTACCGGAACTTATAAAATAAAATAAAAAAAACGTTAGAAATGTTCTTAATAAAATAAAAAAAATTTTTAAAGTTTTGCAATGAGACGTTATGAAACTTACCCTTTATTTGTTTCGGAAACCTATAAAGTACCGAAACCTACAAAAAAAAAAGAAAACTGAAACGCACATTAGAAACGTTTCGTTTAAATAAAAAAAATCAGAATTTTGAAGTTTACCTTCGAAATTCTGTTCAGGAAGCGTCCAGAATGCCGCGTTCTTACAAAATACAAAATGAAACGTTAGAAAATGTTCATTAAATAAAATAATAAAAATTTTCGAAGGCTTTACCTTCGATATGAAAGTCCAGCTTGTTAATCAGCTTCCTTTAACTAAAACAAAAGTAAATGAACGTTAGTTTAACGTTCATTATATTAATTAAAAAAATATATTTTTTTTTTTCAAAGGTTTTACCTTCGATATGGGAGCCCAGAACTCAGTTTCAGCTTCCTTTAACTAAAAAAAAAGACAAAACGTTAGTTAACGTTCGTCAATATAAATTAATTTTAAAAAATTGATTTTTTTTTTCGAAGGTTTGTTTTACCTTTGATATAGGAGCCTGGAACTCAGTTTCAGCTTCCTTTATCTAAAAAAAGTAAGATGAAATGTTAGTTAACATTCATCAATAAAGTTAATAAAAAAAAAAATTTTTTTTTTTCAAAGGTTTTACCTTCAAAGTAAAGTCCGAAGCTGTTTTTGGCGTCCAGAACCTATAAAATATAAAAACGAATATTAATTAACATTCGTTAAATAATAATATAAAAAAATTGAAGGTATATATAGGTTTTACCTTTGAACTTTATCTTCGAAATTAACGTCCAGAGCTATTCTTTGGCGTCCAGGACCTATAAAATGTAAAAAAATGAACATAAGTTACGTTCGTTAAAATAAAATTAAAAAAAATAATTCGAAGGTAAAGTTTACCTTTGAAATTAGAGTCCGGTGTCATTCTTTGGCGTCCAGGATCTATAAAATGTAAAAATGAACGTAAATTAACGTTCATAGGTATAAATAAAATAAAAAAAATTCAGAGGTAAATTTTACTTTCAAAATAAATGTCCAGAATCGTTCTTCGGCGTCTAGGACCTATAATCGAACGTTAGCAACGTTCGTTAGATAACTTAATTAAAAAAGTTATTCGAAGGTCTTATACCTTCGAAATAAATGTCCGGAGTTGTACTTTGGCTTCCAGGACTTAAAAATATAAAAAATGAATATTAGTGGCGTTCGTTAAATAAAAAAATTATTTTTTTAAAATAAATTAAGTTTCGGAAGTAAGCATACCTCTGAATTCCAAAAATTTTCAATAAATTCCATTCAGAACCTATATAATATAATAAAAAAATTATTTTTTTTTTGAAAATAAATTAAGATTCAGAGGTAAGCATACCTCTGAATTCTAAAATCTTTGATAGGTTCCATCTGGAACCTATATAATATAATAAAAAATTATTATTTTTTTTTAAAATAAATTAAAGATTCAGAAGTTAATATATCTCCGAATTTTAAAATCATTGATAAGTTCCATCCGGAATCTATATAATATAAAAAAAAAAAATATTTTTTTTTAAAAAAATAAATTAGATTTCGGAGGTAAGCATACCTCTGAATTCCAAACTAAATTATCGATAGGTTTCATCCAGAACCTATATAATATAAAAAAATTTTTTTTTCTCTAAAAACAATTAAAGTTTCAGACATGCGTCTGGTCCTAATGATCAACTTTGGCAATTTCCATATCATCAATTATTATCATATTATCTATTCTGGATGTGCACAAATAAGCCACATCACGATACCATCGAGCTACTCTTTATTGTACTGGAAATAATGCTAATTTATGGTATTGCTTCCATGTCATAAGATATATACCTCTAATAAATAATTGATCAATATAGAATATTGGATAATGTGAGCTTTGATTGATTCGGAATATATATTTTGTAAGCAGATACTGTTTAAAGAACTTTAATAACAGCTCTTTTCCTCCTGAAATACTCCAGGTTGATCTATTAATCGGATCCGTTGCCATTGATATATCGAGAGCTTTAGCTATTACTAATGCATTAAATGAAATGTTTTTCCTAGTTTGAATTTTTATCTAAGAAGATCACAGTTAAAAATTGGATCTGTGATCAGTGAGTTAAGCTGCACGTCTCTGAGTCTGATATGTGTAAATATCGCTGCATGTGAATCACTATTCAGTCTAATCATTAAGTTCGTTATAGTATTGATACAAAATATTTTCCATGGATGGTCCATACTGAAATACCCCTCATGAAATATTAGTAACGAAGGTGTGTTCTTAGGTAATTTCATTCAGTTTTTAACCAACTTCATTACTGGAGTGAATATGTGATTCCAATCTTGCTCTATCAATGTCATGATTTGAGCTATATACATCAGTCTAGGTATTAA